TGGAGAGGGTCCACGGTAGTATCGTTACCAAACTGCAACGCATGCGAGCTGCTGTAACCACTCCGTCGAATGCTGCGCCCGTGCGGTGCCAATCAGAGCACCGTTTGGATCCGGTCAAGATCCCAGCATTTGATGGTCAACCGCAAATCTGGTTGATGTTTAAAGACATTTTCGAATCATTGGTGCACAATCGCACCGATCTTGACGACAGCTATAAACTCAGTCGATTGAGGCAATGTGTTGACGCTCAGGCAGTACCCATGGTTGGTGGAGTATACACGGGGGGCTACAGCCGGCTATGGGCCGAGTCGAAAAGGCGATATGATAATCCTCGGCGCTTGGTTGAGTCGCACGTGTATCGGCTATTAGACTTGCTGGAACATCCAGTTATAACGCAGCGCGACGTTCGCAACGTTATCGATGTGGTGCGCACAGTACTTTACGTGCCCTGAACGTGATGGGTCTGGCAACAGACCAATGGGATGCCATCGTTTATCCCCTAGTCCTTCGCAAACTACCAACTCCGGTTGTCTCACACTGTACGGTTTTAAACCACGCCGAAACATTACCTAATCTGCAGAGAATGCTAGAGGAGATCGAGACTTACGCGGATACTCTGAGATGCGACCCTAATGTGTCACTCCGACCGTCAACAGCGCGTCGTATGGCACAATCACATGTAGTTACCCCGAAGACTCCGAACGCAACCATGAAATCGTCGCTGGCCTGTCCACGGTGCGGGGAACCACATCGCCTGTCAAGATGTCCTCAATTTCGAGCACTGACTGTAGATCAACGTTTGAACCTTGTCCGGCAAGCATCTTTATGCTATAATTGTCTCGGAACTAGCCACTCGGCTCGAGAGCGCAGCTCAGGAACCTGCCACAACTGCAAACAGAAACACAACACCTTGCTTTGTAAGGCTTCTTCATGCAACGAGAAGTTACCTGCAACCACCAGTGCGGCAACGCGACCAGCCCCCGCATTTGAAACATCTGTCGGCGCCATTACGCCACAGGTTTTGCCTCGCATAGATGCGGTGCAGTCTCTCCTGGCGCAATCTGAGGGGATTGTCCTTCTGACTACAGCTAGAGCTCCACTTTTAGACAAGGTGGGAGAAGAAGTAGCCTGCCGTATATTATGCGACATGGGTTCACAGGTAAGCTTCATTACAGAATGATTTTTCAACCACTTGGGTCTCCACAGAAGACGGAACACGCTTACGGTAGAAGGAATTGGCTCTCAGAGGGTGACTTCGTCGCGTGGCCAGGCGACTCTGGTGATGCGCTCATACCACGATGCCACGTTTGAGTGCACCTTTGGAGCTTATATCCTACCACAAATAACTTCGGAGATTCCTGAGTCGCCAATAGACATTAACCACTATCAACATTTGCAAGACATACCAC